TGACTGCATTCCCCATATATTTCTGATGGGAAGTAAGGCAGTAACACCTTGATGGTGTTAGGAAAAGATTTTACTGTGAATTCATCTTCAGTTTCCACATATATTTTACTTTAGATTCTGTATTCAGGACATATGAAAAATCTTTAATCTTTAATGATAATACACGTGCAATCCCAATATGAAATACTTAAACTGCGGCTTTTCTATCTACTTATACAGTGCTCACTCAGCATCATAAATGATGAATCAAGAAACATAATTACATTGATAAATCTCTAAAGCATATTGTGCTGTGTGAGAATGGACTTAGGAAATAAAGGAATACAGATAAGCATTTGAGTAGTGCATAGGTTTACTCATATCAACTCCACACTACCTGTACATGAATGATAGCAGTATATGATAACAATATCATACATGAACTAAACTTGATTACCATGAAATGTATTCATGATATGATTCTTATTAAGGTAATGCAAAACATTATAATGATATAATGATAACAACGATTTTCTCTTGGGCAAGTGAAGTGACTTTGAATATCAGGGAATCTTTCAGAAGACTTGAAATGTTTTGATCGTATTCTGAGAATATTGAGAATATGGGTATATTTGTTCTCCAAATACATGTGTTGTACAATTATAACTTGGATATGACTCTCTATTAAACTCTAGCAAGGCAAAAAAATTACTAGTGTCCACAGCAATTTACATTAACATAATATTTCATAATATCAACAATTTGTAATTCATAATTAACTTTGATGTATGTAGAATAAAAGCTAATTTGTCATACATACTCTTTAGCAATACTTCTGTTAAGATAGTGTTCCAGTTATGTTTAATTGTCAGCTTGAAAAAGCCTAGTGTCCTATGAGATGAAAGCTTTTTAGCAGATTCATCTAGATCTGGTTGGTCAGTGGGCATGTGCATCAGTGACTATTACTAATTGATTAATGGTAGAATTTTATTAATTGTTTACTAATTGATTCGTGATCCCAGCTCACCAGGGATGCAGCATCCCTAGACAGATCTTCTTGGGTTGTATAAGAACGCTAGATAAGCATCAGCAAACAGGAGAGAGGCGGCAGTCAGCATTCCTCCCTGGTTTCTGCTTCATATTGATGCTTGAATTCTTACCTCGCTTCCTGCACTGATGAACTGGGAGAGGAAGACAGAGAAAACAAATCCTCTCGCCTCCTCAAGATAGATTCATTCAGAATGTTTTATCGCAGCAACAGAAAGGAAATTAAAACAGAAACTGGTACAGGGCGTGGGTTGTTCCTGCGACACACACATAGCCATGTAGCTTTTCATGCCTTTGGATCATTTTGTTGTGGCTGAGACATTCTAAAGGACATAGAGAAAAACTACTGACAAACTACCAGTGCAGGTGGGCAGTTTAAAATTTTCTGCTTCACTGAGAAGTCTGCCAGACACACTATGGCCTATGGGCTGAAGATGGATGCTCCAATGTTACAGAGAAACTTTGGGTGACTGCACAGGAAGCAAGATGCCTCTTAATTCTAGAGTTTATATACTATCCTTCTGAGGTCTTTGGTGGAGTTGAAGACAGTTATGGTTGTGATTTTCCTTAGTTATGACAAAAGATAAGTTACACATAAAACTTTAGACTCACATTTATAGGATAGATGACAAAATACTTTCTTTAAATTTTACCAAATGTTAGTGGACTAAATATTAACTATAGTTCTTGCTTGATAACTGTTTTGTTATATATATACTTTTACTATGTAAAAGTTAAAATATTTCTTTTTATTTAGATAGAAAAAGAGGAGATTATGGGGGATGTCCTTCTGTATATATGTTTCTCTTATTGTTGATGAATAAAACACTGATTGCTCAGTAGTTAGGCAGGAAGTATGGGTAGAGCTATGAGATGAGAAGAATTCTGGGGAGAGGATGCAGAGAGTGAGCCACCAGAGAAAGGCGCCATATAGCTACTGGGAAGATAGGATGTGCCAGGCATTCTCCGTAAGAAAAAGCCATGTAGAAATACATAGATTAATAATTAAGAGAGGGCTAGCTAGTAAGAAGCTTGAGCAGTTAGCCAATCCGTTTATAATTAAAAGAAAGAGTCTGTGACAATTGGCAGCTGAGGTTTCAGAATCAGCAGTAACTAAAACCAGAGCTGTAGGTCAGGTGGTGGTGGCACACACCTTTAATCTTACCACTGGGGAGGCAGAAGTAGGCAGATCTCTGAGTTTGCAGCCAGCCTGGTCTACAGAACAAATTCCAAGACAGCCAGAGCTACACAGAGAAACTCTGTCTCTAAAAACCCAAACAAACAAACAAACAAACAAACAAAAAGCCATATCTGCATTATTGAGGAGGTCCTGTTTTTCTCTTGGATGATGGGATTGTGGGTCACCTGGGCTGAGAGTCCCCTGTGATTATAAAGAGTTCAGTAGCTTTGAGATTGAGATAACAGGAATGTATTGTCCCTATGGTCAGCCCACAGAAGCTATAGTCTGAGACAGCCTAGGCTGTATTTTAATTTGGCAGCTGAACCTGACAATGATTAAGAGTCTTCCAGGGGACACTAGTTTTAAAGTTATGGAAGACGTATCATTGAATGGGTCATGGATAGGAACGTGGCCTTTGCGGCATATGGTGGGTGGGCGTCTCTTTGGAGAGTCCAGGAGTGGCCCCTAGTGAATGTTCGTCATTAATTGTAGTGAAGACCTAGGAGATTGGAGATACCAGGACTATGAGATGTTTGCCAAGGACAGGGGTAAATGTGGAGTGTAGCTTACCATGAGTCTAGGGGAGACAAACCATGTGTAATCTATGTGGGACAGCTGAAGGGGGACTGCTTAAGCCTTTGGGACACGGAGTACACAGATGGTGGATATTGAACAATAGCATTTGAATTTATACTGCTGGATATTTGGGTTGACTTTCTGCTGTGTTCTTTCATTTTGGAGTAAGAAGCATGATTTGCTTTCAATTTTAGAGGAACCTACAGTTAAAAGACATCTATCTATCTATCTATCCATCTATCCATCCATCCATCCATCCATCATCTATCTATCTATACAGTGTTCTCTCAGCATATATGCCTAGATGCCAGAAGAGGGCGCTAGATCTCATTATAGATAATTTTGAACTACAATATGGTTGCTGGGAATTGAATTCAGGACCTCTGGAAGAGCAGCCAGTGCTCTTATCCTCTTTAGACTCAAGACTTTGGGGGTTTTAAGTGGACTTTTAGTAATTTTTAATGAGACTTTTAATGCAATTAAATTTTTAGAGACTGTGTAACTCTTAAATCTAACCATTTTATGTGATGGTGTTAAAATAAGATCTCAGGGACAAAGATTTTAAAGATTATAGCCTAAAGTGAAGTTGACAAGTGATGAAATATCCTAGTTAGCAAACTGTCATATTGTCACAGCCTAGTATCTCCTGGGAGCAGATATCTCATTTGAATAAGTATTTTTATTCAGTTCGTCTATATGCATATATGTGAAGTATTACAATGTTTGTTAATTTATGCATAGGAATTAGCCTTCCGTGAGCCTTGCCATAACTTGTGCAAGTGGCTTCGGGATGTATAAATGAGTGAGCAAGCAAATCAATAACCAGTGTTCCTCAGTGGTTCTGCCTTCCATACCCGCCCTGACTTCATTTAAGGTGAACCCTGGCCTGGAAGAATGTGCCATTTAATTCTTTCCTCCTCTAATGTTCTGTTGGTCAGAGTGTTGTATCACAGGAACAGAAAGGAATCCTCAGTGGTTCTGCCTTCCAGACCTGCCCTGACTTCATTTAAGGTGAACCCTGGCCTGGAAGAATGTGCCATTTAATTCTTTCCTCCTCTAATGTTCTGTTGGTCAGAGTGTTGTATCACAGGAACAGAAAGGAATCCAGAAGAGCATGGAAGAAACAAGAAAGGTGCAAATAGCCGAGACTCAGTTTTTATGGTTTCAGGCTGAAGCAAGGACTCTGACAGGATCTCAGCTAGGCACCATGCCTGTGCTATTCTGTTTGAGAATATTGGCATCATTGTACTATTATTCTGAGAACTTTATTGAAGTTGAATTTAAAGATCATGCACTGTTTTTTTTTTTTTTTCTTGAGAAAAGGTGTATGGGCAAATTTAAAATTTTGGCAAGAAGTGTGCAGACATTGAAGAAGCAGAAACTGTTAGAGAGAGCAAGTCATTACAAAGACCCTGAGCTCTGCACTGGGCCAAAAGAGAAGTTTCTTGAAGGGGTCATATACAGAAGCAAATACACTGTGATCCAAGAAGGCAGGGCTACATCTCTATCAAATGTCAGAACTTGGCCTTGGGTCTACATAGTACTCATTTTGATTGAATATTTGTCATGAAATATGGTCCCCAGAGAGGGATGGTCAAAATACACATGGAGACATGGGAGAGACATGACCTTGGAGTGCTAAGCAAGGCATAGTAAAAGGGAACCATAGGATGACACTCTACATTAACATTCAAGCATGCATGGATATTGATGTATTTGGTTACAAAACATGATCTCACTCTTCCAGTGATATAAATGGCATAAGCAATCAACTTGGAGGTGATGATTACAATCTGGTGAATGAAAATTTAACAGGCTGTCTTAAATTTGTGTACTAAGTGATTCATATGAGATATATTTATGAGGTTGTGACCTCTCCTAAATCTTCATAAATTAAAGGATACTAGGATTGTGGGTAAATTTTATGCAATTATTTTAACATTGAGACAAATGTTCTTTTAAAAATAAAGAGAACACTTGGGCAAAATCTAACCATCATTTAATCACTGTCAAGTTCAATGAACTTGAAAATTCTGAATTTTTCCTGCAAGGCCTTAAGACTTCCCCTAAGGGAAAGCTTTCTCCACAGTGGGAGCTTTACTGGCCCTGCATAGCAGGTTTAGCAATGCAGTAAGCAGTACATGATTGACAAGTTTGTCTCACTCAACTTTCACAAGAATAATTATTTTTTCAACAGATTTAAGGTTGTCAGATGTCCAATTGAGAAGGGTATAAAAATTGTCTACATGGCCAAGGACAAAGTTGCCAGCTGCTCCACTAGACTGTTTCCTGTCCAGAAGAACTCCTCTCTCTACCTTCCTCCTCAGGAGTGTCCTGTATGGCTCTCCTCAGAAGCATCTTCAGAGTCTGCCTCTGGAATCGGTGATGCCTAATGGAGCCAACAAGGAAGTAAATGAAGGGATTGGCACAGCTGTTAACACAGGATAGGAATGCTGTCACTTGATAAACATTACAAGGGAAAACCCTATAAAGCTCCCCAATCCAACCTAAGAGGAACCAGTAGATCCCATAGGACAAGCCAAAGAGCAGGAAGACCAGTACCGTGAGGGCAATGGTCACATACAGCCTGGTCACAGCAATCCTGTGGGAGCCACAGAAGACCCTGAGCAGCAGGGCCAGGCTGGACCCCGAGAGGACCACAAGTAAAACGATCAACCAAGCAAAAGTGATGAAATCCAATCTCTCACACCAAGCGGAAAGAGAACTGCCAAAGAAGATACCACATGCATTCCCTTCCAGGAGGCTCAGTATCAGAGAAAAGGCCCAGAGCAGGGCACACATGGCAGCTGATGTGCGTCTTGGTCTTCGACAGCGGTACCATATGGGCCACAGGGCAGACAAGCAGCGCTCAGTGCTAATGGCGCTGAGCATGCTCAGACTTGAAAGATAAGCAAAATTTGACACCGTAAGCAAATAGATGGGCAAGCCAATAAATATTGCATGGACATGATAAAGTATTCCCTTCAGAGAATACAGAGTCTGAAAGAAGAGGAAGAGGAAGTCAGCCCCAGCCAGGTTGAGGATGTAAACAGAGAAGGCATTCCTGTGCATGTGGAAACCCAGAAGCCACAGAACTATGGCATTTCCTGCCAGCCCAGCCAGGGCAACGATGACTCTAAGGACATTCAGGGTAAAGATCTCTGTGGCACAGTATAAATGCTGATAGTCGTCACTTTCATTCATCGCTGTGTTGTTAGTCCTCCAGGCTGGGGTGCTTAGTTCCATGCTTAGAAATTCTTCACTAGTGTTCCTGAAATAAAAAAACAAGGCATGAACACATACTATATACTCTCTGCCTCCCTCCCTCCCCACCAAACTCTGTGGGAATAATAGACCCTGGTTCACACGGAGGCAGAAACAGCTTACATAAATTAAGTCATTTGTCAATTTTTAAAATTTCTCAAAGTTTTTTATTGACTTGGGTTATGTGGTGGTTTGAAAGAAAATGGCTCCCATTGGGAGTGTCTCTTAGGGTGTGTGGCTTTGTTGGAGTAGTTGTGGCCTTGTTTGAGGAAATATGTTGTCACAGTGGGGATGGGCTATGAGGTCTCCTGTGCTCAATCTGTGTCCACCGTGGGACGCAGTTCACTTGCTATTGCTTGTGGATCAAGAAATTTCTGCTCCTTCTCCAGCGTTATGTCTGCCTGCCTGCTACCAAGTCCCACCATGATGATGATGACGGAGTAAACCTCTGAAACTCTAAGCCAGCCACAATTAAATGTTTTCCTTTGTAAGAGTGGCATAACCATGGTAATTCTTCATAGCTGTAGAAATCCAAACTAAGATGGAAATTGGTACTGCACACTGGGGTATTGCTTTGGTAGCCCTTACCATACTTTCATTTGGAGGCATTTGAACTTTCGGAGGTTGCAATGCTTCGAGCATTGCTCAATGGACAATACTAGTAGGAGAGTGGAAGCTAGTGGTGTTGAGGGTGATTTGAACTTTGGGGACCTAACTCAACAAGTTTCAGGAGAGAAGAATGTTACTGTTGCCTAGAGATCATTCTTTTGATGCTTTGAAGAAGAATGTGGCTGCTTTTTGCCCTTGTCCATAGAGTCCTCCTGAGGCTAATGTGAAGAGCTTTGGATTAATTCTATTGACAGACAAAAATCTCAGAACAGCCTAGTATAGATTCTGTAATGTGGTTATTAGTGATAACTCTAATGAAGATTTGTGACAAAAAAGGGACAAATCATACAAGGAAAAATACAAAATGTACAATCTGAGTAGAAAAGGAACGCTAGGAAGGAGAATGGAGCTAAGTCCTGTGCTCAAGGAGATAAACAGATTAACAAATGGAATAAGAGAATGTTGACATCAGGGTAAGACTCCACCTAGCTAAGCTTTCTACTTTTGGAAAGGAATTAAAGAAAAGCTCAGAGAAAGGTGTGGTGGTGCACATCTTTAATCCTAGCCCTTCAGAGGCAGAGGCAGACAGATTTTGTAGTCTGAGGCCAGTCTGGTATACAGAGAAAGTTCCAGAACAGATAAACTTAGCCAATGAATGGAACCATGGAAAAGGTAAAACTAGTGAAGATGTAATTGAATGAGGGGGCCATGTTCAGTCCCAGCAAACAGCTGAACCTGGCAGCTTTAGCCTCATGGTCTGGCTTTAGAGTAAAAGATGGAAGGAAGGGGTTATGGAATCTTCCTTTGTGACTAAGAAAATCCGGTGAGTCCAGGAACAAGTAAGGTTAGTTCCTGAATGGAGGCCTAGAGGCATGACTTTATGAAGCCGAAGCCTGGATTGCTTTGGAGAGCTCAGTGCGATGGAGAGGCCAGAGCTGTGGGTTACCTGCAAAGAACTGCTAACAGGAAGTAAAACAAGGCCAAGGCAGAGAAGTGTGCTGCAGTCAAAAACCTGCAAGAAGTTGGAGATCGGAAGAGCATTTGACATCAGACACGGGGAGACAGCATTTGGAGTTTTCCCAGATGGTTTTTTGGTCTTGCCTTGGTCCAGTATTTTCTCATGATCCCCCCTTTTCTCATTTTGGAATGGTAATATTTATCTGTGCCATTATATGCTGGAAGTATGTGGGTTGCTTTTTGCTTTTGCTTTTCAGGGGAGATTATAGTTAATCTCAGAAAAGACTTTGAACTTTAGGCTTTTAAATAAGTTTGAGACTGTGATCGACTATGGGCACTTTCAAAGTTGGACTGAATGCAGTTTTACATTATACTATTGCTACAAGCCTATGGGGGGCTAGGGAGTGGAATGTGGTGGTGTGAAAGAAAATGATCCCCAAAGGGAATATTAGGATGTGTGGTTTTGTTGGAGTAGGTGCTGCATTGTTGGTGTATATATATCACTGTGAGGGTGGGCTCTGAGTTCTTCTATGCTCAAGCTATGTGCAATGTGGAACGCAGTTCACTTTCTGTTGCCTGTGGACCAAGATGCATAAATCTCAGCTCCTTCTCTAACACCATGTCTGCCTGCACACCACCATATCCCACCATGATGGTAATGGACTAAGCCTCTGAATCTGTGAGCCACACTAATTAAGTGATTTCCTTTATAAGAGTTGCCATGGTCATGGCGCCTCTATACAGCAATAGTAACCCAAATTAAGACAGGCTATCTGCAAACATATTCATCTACCCACACTGGGGTAGCTGATAGCTCCAGTAGAGATGCTCATCATCCAATGCTTTCAGGAAAAGACAGTGTTCTGAATGTGAACGAGTTGAGTATCAGAAAACATATATAGAGTGAAGAAAATATCATTGCTAGTGATTCCTTCAGTGGAAAATTCTTGTGGTTGTGAATAATTACTTATGCTACAGAGCTGAACAATGATGGCCATTGCGATTTTGCAACATAGGAATGTCCAATATAGAGCTGTAAATATTACTAAGAAAAAATTTGGACCCAAGGCTAGGCATTTGATTCTGGATTCACTGTGAATCCTAAAAGCTAGCTGATATTTTATGAAAATAAAAAGGCATAAATTTATATGGAAGTATTTGAGGGCCAAGGTGGAAAAGGAAATATAAATGACTTTGCTTTGGAAATACAAGTCCCATCCGCTAGGAAGATCAGTGGTAGATGTAAGTGAATACAAGTAGACCCTGGGACGTAGACCAGTTTGGTCAGGACAAGCAGGGTCACTTAGTGCTTTGCTCCACTCCTACCCATTTATATTTATTTGAAAGTTTCCTCTTTCCTCCATGATCCCCAGAGACATCAGAAGAAAGCACATCTACCCTGACATCTCTCTTCCTATCACCTTAAGGATCAGTTCAAGTGGAATGATAGACGTTGCTGCTCTGTGGCACGGACACGTCCCAGCAAAGTTCCCTGTATTAGCCCTCTCTGCCATCCCCTGTGGTGGGGAATATTGGATGAGTCTCAGTCCCCATGAGTTGATCCGGGTTGGTATGAATAGAATTGGGAATGAAAAAGGATCAAAACCCAATTGTTCACACCTAGTGAGCTTCAGAAGCCCAAGACTAACATCAAAGCATCCACTCTCCAGCTTATCAACAATGAATGGTTATTGTCAATATTTACTGTGGTGTTAGGTACCTGGGTTGTGTTCTTTACTCTAACTATTAGTCTTTGTAATGTCATTCCACACTTCTCTCCTTCCAATCTTGCTGTTCTTCTCTTTAACATTAGGCACAAAACTGTTTTGCAGTACTTCCTTAATTAATTTGAACTTCTCAGTTATTATATATTATCATATCTCCATTAGCATGAGAGGTGCAGTTGTTGTTTACAATTTCTCTTTTTCTTTCTAATGTTAACATTTGTTGGCTTTTGTGTTGAGTTCATCTTCTTTTTCCCTTTGAGTGTTGTTTGAGATTGAGATTTTGATTGTACCATGAGTTCTATATCAGCCTGTGATTTCTTCATTCTTATCCAACCCAAACATCCATTAAAGAAAGGTAGTTTTTCTTTAATCACAGGATACTCCTGGCCAACCTCCATCTAAGACATCTACTTTAATGATGCTTAAAATATCTAAGGATGCTTAGAACAAGCTCTAGGCCATGATGACCTAGAAAAATAGTTGCCACTCAAGGTCTTTGCAAGAAATTGCCCAATGAATTATATTGTATTCATTAAGATCACAACATTTATTTTTGAGCCTTAATTACCCCTAAGAGCACAAATTTCATTCAGGGCATCATACAGCCATTAAGAATAGTGAAACATGAGCTAGATAAACACCACCCCCCAAAACAAAACAAAACAAAAAAACCAAACCAAACCAATCAAAAAACTGAGCTTGAACTTAACAGGGTAGTATTACTGTGACCTCTCACAGTTATTTCACAATAGGCTCCTCAGCTTCCAGAAACAATGTCAGGAAGCCAAAACAGAACAAAATCAGTGACACCTTAAATCGTTACTGTATATGTTCCAGCTGCATGCCAGTCTACAAAGAATATTCCTGCTCCTCATTGCACAGGCTTCCCCTCTGCTCTCGGCTCATGTGCTTGAACTACAAGCCCTATTGGGGAAGATGTTCTCAAATTGTCACCAGACACATCTTGTTACATGTCCATGTTTTATAGTCATATCAAATGCATTGGTATAACTGATGTTTCTGACCTATGTTTAAGCCATTCAGACCTCAGATATAAAAACCATGTCACCAATTATATATGTAATTGACCTCTAAAATAAGAAAGCATAAAAATGTAATGCTGTACCACAAAAGGGAAAAATACATTTAAATAATGAGACTCTGCAAAAGAACAAATCTCATAAAGATAATAGAAAACGGGATTGAGAAAGAATCAAATATTTTTAAACTCAATAACTGAGTAAACTAAGATGAACAAATGAGAAACAAATTGTAGAGTCAGTATTTAGATCAACCAGGAAAACCCTAAAATTACAAGTTAGTATGTGTATCCAAATAGTAATCTTAAATATAGATGGTGTTAAACCATTACTTAAAAGATAGCATGCTAAGAAACAAGGAGGACCCTAAGACAGACATACATGATTTCTTGGAGAAGGGGAAAGGGACAAAATCTTCTGAGCTAATTGGGATTAAGGTGGGGGGAGAGAGTTCGGAGAAAACGAAGGGGAAAAGAAGGGGGGGGAGGACGACATGGGAGAAAATAGGGGAGGGTAAGAAAACAGACACCGCAATACAGGGAGCCATTATAGGTTTAAAGAGAAATCTGGCGCTATGGAAATGTTCAGAGACCTACTAGGATGGCTCCAACTAACAATCTAGGCAGTAGTGGAGAGGCTACCATAAATGCCCTTCCTTTGTAATGAGATC